GGAGGCGATGTTTTATAAAAGTCCAAAGCTTTCTCGAAATATTTGTCTGCTTCGACAATCTCTTCCATTTTAGCGTGATAACGGCCCAAATTGGAATATGACTGTCCAAGAGATGGATGACGAATTTTTTCACGCGAAGCCAATGCTTTTCTAAAGAATTTGAGTGCTTCTGTATTGTTGTCTAACATCATGTGTATACTAGCGATGTTATCATAAGTAATGGCTACATCTGGATGATCCTGAGGATAATCTTCCAGCCACTTCAGTACTGTTTGATAATACCATAAGGCTTGGTGATATTGACCTAGCTTAGTATGCGCCTGAGCAATATGAAAAAAAGTCTCAAGGACATTCGGATCGGTCATCAATGCTTTCATGTAAAAGGAGAGAGCCTTGTCAATGTCATTCGACCTGCAGTAAAGGGTACCAATTGCACTGTAGATTTCGGCTGCGTGCTTGAAAGTGAGAAACTGACGTTCCCTGCTATTAGGATTCAGTTTTTCAAAGGTTGAAATGGCTCGTTCAAAGTATGGCTTGGCTTTTGAATAATGACCTTGGTTGGATTTGATGGATCCCATTCGACCATAGAGAAACGCTTCTTCCTCTTCGATATTTGTGAGCTCGAGCAGTTCTTGATATAGTTTCAAGGCCTGATCCTCATGCGTCAATTGCTGTAAAAGTGAAGCGATTCTATATCGACTTGGTAGACCATGATCTAATTGTGTGCGAAAAACTTCTGTTATTTTTTTTAATTGTTCGTCATTGTCATCAGTAAATTCTAATTGAATAAGCCATACGCAACCATTGCCATCTTTGCGTCGAATATCTTTCGTACGGAAAATTGTATGAGTTGAAAATAAAACTTCTGATTCTCCTTCATACTGACTAATATCATCGATCCATGCAAATGGAGCTCCCGATCGAGAAGCATCGATGGTGATGGCGAAGAGAACTGCGACGCTTTCTTGATCAGAAGAACGCATCGAATTGCTCTCTGCATAAGCATTGCCAACAAGCTCATCTATGCTTGTCGATAAGAAACAATTGAAGGAAAGAAGACTACCTTTGTTGGCTTGAAGTCGATCGAAATCAGCTTTGTGCATCGCTTGACCTCGACAAACGGTAAATGTATCGAAATATGGATTAGAGAATGATTTCGAGTGTAGTCGTTTGAGATCATCATGAAGATCACGAAGATAGGGACCAAAGTAAATGATTGTTTCAACATCTTGCATTCGTAATGCTTCATTTAGCTGTGAGTACACCAGCGATTCCTTTGTGTACCAATAAATCGGTCGTTGCAAATGGTAATTTCTCTGTAACTCGTCGATCCGCTGCAGCTCATTAACATTGTTAGCGGATTTCTGCCGAAGATAATCAAACATTTTCTCAAGTTTTCTCGGATCATTGCTATCTTCTGAAATAAGTTCTTTTAATAATTGCGTCCACATAAATCTTGGATCAAATTGATTTGAGCTTTGATCTGAAATATTTCGATCTGATGGTAAAATATTGATTGAGATCGGCGCGACATTACATGGACACGACAAGCGCTGCAATCGCCGACATTGGGACAAAAGATCGCTGAACGGGCCTTTGACTTTCGACCAGTTCGATTTCATTTGTTCAATATTGATTTTTTCTTCGGAATAAATATAAATGGAATCGATTTGAGTCATCGAATGAACTAATGGCACAATCTCTTGAAGAAAATCTTTTGAAACAATGAGAATGACCTTTTCATCATAAACTAATTGAATCAACTTCGAACATTGATGAACATCATGTGACACCAAAATGGCTTTCCATATCGGTTCTAATAGATTGATCGTTGAATCATCAGGATCGTTCGAATTTAACCAAACGATGCTGGTACTTTTCATAGATAATTGATATGAGTTGAACATATTGAGATGTGTAAATGACTGGTTGCATGTTATGCACACTTGATATATGTACAAGTAATCGCTCGTTTGGAAAAAGCCCAGTTGTCATTTGAAATATATTTTACAACAGAATATTCTTTGAAAAGCACAACGGTAAAATGTGTGGGTCGAAGTACTGTCATTCATGCGTCAATACGAATCATGTATTATATGCAAATAACGAAAAAAGTCAGACCTTGAGAGAAAGAAAACCACGTGTACTTTGCTCCTTTTCACGGATGGTATGAATAATAATATATCAGCTTCATTTCAAAGAAAAAATTACCTTTTCTTGTTGTGATGAAATTACCAAAAGATTGAATCAAGGCTTGAATGTTATTTTCTTCTAGAAATATGTTCTCAGTCATTCATTTCACTGCTCTTAACATCAAGAGAAGATTAATTATTGATTTGACATTCTTTCTTGGCAGTAGGTAAAAGATAAGAAAAGAAAGAGAGAACTGCTGTGAAAATCATTAGAAAATCTTATTTCAATCAGAAATAAAAGATAGGGATTCGAGCTTTCGTGTTCGGACTGAACACATCGTCAGGAACGACATTATGAAATTTTATTTTGATTAAAATTCAATTTATAATAAAATGAAATATTACAAAATACAATAATATTGTTTGTGATGTTGTTTATGTTGGTATGGTTTATGATGTTGTTAATGTTGTTGTTGTTATTAGTGATGTTGTTGACGTTGTTGTTATTGTTCGTGATGTGGTTGATGTTGTTCTTATTATTTGTGATGTTGTTGTTAGTGTTGCTGATGTTGTTGTTGTAATTATCGTTCTTCCTATTCTTTCTTTCTTATACTAGCACCTCACTGAGATAAGTTTTTGATCCTGATAGATATTCATCAATTTATGTTAGCAACTGATTTGTATTTTATGTGGAGGGTGTCGATCTTGGTGTTAAGATGGACCACTTCTCACAACATAAACCAGAATACGTTTGTGTATTAGATATTATTTGAGAAAATATAATGAGTAGGAAAAGATTAATTAAGTACATGAAATTATAATAGATATTATTTGAGAGAATATAATGAGTAGGAAAAGATTAATTAAGTACATGAAATTATAATAGATATTATTTGAGAGAATATAAATAAGAAAGACAAGATAGATGAAGATAGATGAAATTATGTGATATTATTTGAGCAAATATAAATTCGAAAGGTGAGATTGATGAAAATAAACGATATTGCTAATGATTAATTTTACTACCTTATTTGTATTTATATGGAGGGCGTCGACCTTGGTGTTTAAGGTGGAACTCTACTTGCAATATGAACTAGAGTAAGTTTATATATTCGATGCTATTGGAGAAAATATAATGAGAAAGAAAAGATTAACGAAAATAAATGAAATTATAATCTGAGAGAATATAGATAAGAAAGACAAGCTATATGAAAATACATGAAATTACATGATATTATTTGAGCAATTATAAATAAGAAAAGTAAGATTGGTGAAAATAAACGAAGGGTGTGGGTGTGGGTGTGAATGTGGGTGTGTTTGTGTCAATTTGCTAAAATATCACGATAATTACTTAATACCGAATAAATAAATGAATCTCGTAGAAAAAATATATTCCGAAAAAATAAGTCACGGTAGCCTCTCCCTCAGACACATCCGTCTACACTCAACCACTCACATCCACCCACACACATATCCTGTGGGTGTGAGTGTGGGTGTTGCTGTGCTCGTTAGGGTATCGAAGGAAAAATGCAAGCGTTTACTACAGCACATTCAAACCCAAACTCACAACAGCACACCCACACCTAGCTAGTGCATATAAAGCACAGTGTAAAAATATTCTCTACATACGGGTTGTTATGAACCACATGAAGTGAGAGACAATCTAAGATAAATTCCTTTCCCAAACAAAAACCTAAGGGTCAAGAGCTTTGTTGCAAGTCGAAATATAATCGAAGTAGAAAACTTGATGGCATCCCGACAGTTTCAGGAATTCGAGATAAGCTTCGAGACAGTGAACTTTTCAATTTTCGAAAAAGACGAGAATGCTCTAAAAACTAGCACTAGATCATCGAGTTTCTGCTCATCTTTACTCCTTCTTCAGTTTGCCACCCTCTATCCAGCATATATATTTTGCTCGTTATTCGAGTAGGAGGGTGTGGGTGTGGGTGCGATTGTAGGCATTGGAAGAGCTTCATCAACACTCACACCTCACACCTACTCATGCGCTAAACGCTGTACATTGCTTAGACGAAAATTAACGTTGTTCTCTCGTACATATTGCTTGAGCCCTGCCAAAGCCAATTCCACCGGATTAAGTAAACAATATTTAAGAGGCAAGCTATAAATACCATGTATAGGGCTGATGCTAGATATAAAGTTAACGACTTACTGCAGGATATTAATTTCGTACCTTTTTAGCTGCTTCATCAACTTCAAACCGTGTCTCTGGTAAATTTTTCATAGCAAGGTCAAGTAATTCAGCTTTTACAGGAACATCTATATTATGAGCATCGAGCCATTGTATAATGCGTTCTTTTCGCCAGGATCTCTTAGGTGGTGCTGTATCGCCTGTCAGTTGATTATGCCAAGGAGCATTATCGATTATCAACACGGTTTTGGTGACCTTTCCTACGCTTAAACGTAAAAAGTGACAGAAAAAGAAGGATTGTTAACGAGTTCTTTTCGAAGAAGGCCAACAGTATGATTTATCCATGCAAAAAGTGTAAGGAGTTCATAAGATTTTCTTCTGCAGATTGAAATATATCAATGGATAACCTATGAAAACCTGTATTACCCATCAATGCGGAAATAACAAGATGTGATCCTGTAGAGAAAAGAAGATTTTAGGTAGCTTTCAAGGCACATAAATTTTACCTTTCCTAGTATTCTTTCGCAAAAGACCAACACCAGTATCTCTATCAGTCCACACGAAGCCTTATTCTTCATTTTGATTGCACCAACTTTCGTCGTGCCCAAAAAAGAAGCGCTCGATTTTGTCGAAATTCATCGATTTTGGAAAATTAACGTGCACGAGCTGCCATGTAAAATAGAGAATCAACAAGAACAACAACTTTGGATGTTTTTTTATATCTAAAATCTAATTTTTTCATCCATCGCCACAAAGAAGACGTCGGACGAATCGGAAAATCAGGATCATCACTCAAAATTCTGGCGAGAACTTTATCGACCGTTGGATAGATCCTCTTAGTCAGCATCAGATGAACGTGGTAACTATAAACAATATGCATGTATTCAATAGTTTGTTCAGCTGAGTTTCCTTACTGAATATTTTCCTTTTGATCTTGTCGAAACAATAGAACGATGACCAGAATGACCACGTTTTTGTGGTGATTTAGCAACAGGAATAAATGTCACTACAATTGAATTAGATGTGTCAGTAACCGACGAAGATGATGATGTTGAGGATGATCGTGTGCGTGGATTTCGAAGTCGCATAGCAGCTCGAATCGCCGCTTCTTCTTTATCTCGTCTCTCTTGATCCCGCTTTTTTGTGATTGAATCAATTGGTTTTGTTCTTGTAGCATCCCTTTCTCCTGTTCTTTCATTTATCGCTTCAATTTTTCGACCAAGAACATTGAAATACCGAGCATGGATTTAACACGATTATTCACGTTGTTCAATGGAATTAAGCATCCAGCTTTTTCATGTTCAACAAATTTGATCACATTAAACATGATTTGTTTCGTATCACGAGAGAAATCATGACCTGTACGCATTTGATCGATAACTGAACTTCGTTTGAATAATATCAAATAATGCGTTTCTTTTACTTTCTTTCAGTTGTGCAACGTGAGTATCGATTTATACGTCTAGTCCAGCGAGAAGAAAAATTATTTTATCACACCATATGACACATGCTTTTCTCTTTATATAAAAGACAACTATTCGATGTCATAGTCTGTCAAAGGTAGCTCGACAGAAAAGAAAATTGTGTACTATCAGTATCAGACCGAATCTGCCTATAATTCATTCGGACGTACTTGCGAGATATTGACCATAAAAGGCATGTGTTAGGTGTTTATAATTTCTGGCAAACACATTCAGGTTGCCGTTTTAATATAATCAACACTATTTCTGCATACAAGAAATGATCTTTTTACAATATGAACAATTTCATTAGATTCAAATAATAGAAATTTATTGAAATTTTGTAATAAAGCCTATAAAATGTAGCCAAAAAACTGTTTTTTGAGCATTTTTGAGCACTAATGTGAGATATATGATTTTTGAACAAAGCAAAAGAAAATTTTCGGGTTTGTGTAGAATTGTAGATCTTGAGTAGACAAATCTAATGCACTCAT